GACGCCGGTCCGTAAAGAAGCTGAGGTTCGACCACGGGAAGAAGGTTCGGCGGCACGCTGGAGTCACTGGAACTCGGAGCGAGCCGCGATCCATGCCCACCTCGGGACTCGATCGCGAAGCCCACAGCTGAAGCGGTCTCATATGAAGCAAACCGAGCGGCGTTGCCCTGCGGCCGCGGATGCCATATGCCCCAGGAGCCTCTGAAATAGTTTCAGTGGAACCGCACTCCTGCCCTCGAACTGTCGAAGACAAGCAGCAGTGAGTTGCGCGCGCCTGTCGTGAGCTGCGCGGACATGGCGACCGAGTCTATCTCCATGCCGAGAAAAGAGATCCTCTGCACGGGGCAAAGTTTGCTCTTTTCCCGGTTGACCCGAAGGCCCAAACGGGCTAGGTGCCGGAGCACCAAGTCTCTGTGTTCGCAAAGCTGAGCTCGAGAGTGTGCTAGTATCAGCCAGTCGTCGAGATAATTCAGGATGCGAACCCGTGTTCCGCGAAGGGGAACAAGGGCTGCCTCGACGATCTTCGTGAAGACGCGAGGGGACAGAGCTAACCCGAATGGGAGAACGGCGTACTGATATGCCTGGCCTCGAAGGCAAACCGAAGAAACGGTCTGTGTCGAGGTAAGATGGACACATGGAAGTACGGTCCTTCAGGTCGATCGCTGCAAACCAATCCTTATACCGAACACATTCGAAAATGCGTTTGGCCGTGAGCATTTTGAACGTAGTCGATGGAGAGAACGGTTCAAAATGCGCAGGTCCAGGATTGGTCGTAACCCACCGGTCTTCTTGGGGACAATGAAGTAGGGGCTGAAAACCCGGACTCCACCTCGGCTGGAGGGACCGTCTCGATTGCACCCTTCGCCAGCAGGGTCGCAATCTCCGCTCTCAGGAGTGGGGCATTGCAACCAACTATCGTGGAGCGAACTCCCCTGAAGCGGGGAGGAGACCGTGCGAACTGAATCGCGTAGCCGAATCTGATCGTTCTGATGACCCAGCGGGATATCCCGCGGAAGCACTAGCCAGGCTTCCAGGAAGTGAGCCAACGGGGTCATGTGAACCACAGACGTCCCCCCGGAGGGGCAGCGTGGCGGGTCGACTGGCACGCGTGCAGGATGACCCCGCTCGCGATGCGTCGAAGCCCGCTCCCCGACGGAAGGGACCAGGGAAAGCGGAGCGTTTCCACGGGGGTCCGTTCCGCCGGGGGTCTGGCGACAGAGGGGGAAGGGATTGGCGTAGCCCGGGGACGACACTCGCACCCTTCCGCACCCTCAGAGAACAGAGAGGAATGTGTGGGCTGACGCACTGGAACGTCGAGCGCACTCATTCCAGTCTGTGGGCTCAGTGATGATGTCAAGTCTTCTTAACCAACTCAGGCGCTGCCCACCCGTGGGCGAGCAGCGGGAACTGAAAACGAAAGATTTTCCCCCCGGCCCTCCACCGGGGGCAGGAGGGGGCCTGCTCCCGCCTCCTGGGGAAAAACTCAACTCCATCACTGAGCAGACCGTATCAGGATCATCGCTTACCTGGCGTTTAGCGGGTGTGCGGCCTGAGGGGGCTGTGACGCCTGCCGGCGGCCTCCTCCACGGCGTGGCCCGGATGAAGGCTGCTGCTGGGGCGGGGCGGGAGGCAGGGGAGCCGCGGGGGGGCGTCCTCGGCGGCGAGCAGCGGGAGGCATCTGTGCCGACGACTGGGTGGAGGCAGCAGCTGGTCGTCGGGGCAGAACATGTTTGATTGCCTCCGTCTGCTCCTGGGCAGTGGAGACTGCTGGGCAAGAGTTCTCGACTGCACCGCCAAAAAAGGCCAACCTGGGAGAGAAGGGCGTCGAGCAGACGAATCCGCTCAGCGCTCCGAGTGTCTGCCAGGTTGACGCTCCTGGACCACACTAGTGGCCATCACCTGACCAACGGCGCGAGCGGCCACTTTCGTTGCCCTTTTGGAGAGCAAGGTCAGTGGCGGACCGCAAATCTTCGAATGCCGTTGGATCAGTCCCGCCCTCGAGCATATCTCTGAGCATCTGCGCTTGCACAGTGCTCATCGCATGCAAAGCGGAGGCCGCCCGTCCCGCCGCTCTACAGGAACGCGCCGCCATGGCAGACGAGAACCTACAGGCTTTGGACGGGTGCCTAGGAGGACCACGGAGGAGGCGCCCTGTGGACACAGCTGTATCGCAACAGAACGCTCCAGCGGGGGCATCCCAGTGCACCCACGGGCGGCCCCCCATCGAGGGGGGAAAGGCGGGGAGAGATCGCGCTCTCGAGTGGACAGAGGAGTCCCCAAGAGCGCGATAACTCCGCATGCAGCTCGGGGAAAAAAAAGGCAATGGAGTTGGCCGTGGCCTCGCGGCGGCAGCTTTGTCCAAAACCAATTATCCCTCCGTGAGAGATCGGGGAGAATGGAGGATGCCACTCTAACCCAATACTCCCAGCGGCTTGAGACAGCATGCCGTCAGCTCGGGATCCGACACGGGCAGCGCTGGCTCTCCCGAAGGGGGCAGTGCAGCCGCATCCTCATCTCCCGAGGACTGTAGCCCACCTAGTGATGCTGCGATCGACATCACATCATCATCTGGAGCGCTGCTCGAAGCAGCCGGTACCGCTGAAGAGGCAGCCGACTGAATCGAACTAACGCTCGCTGGCTCACGCACTGAGGCGGGAGGTGTGGCCCGAGAAATCGTCGGGGCTTTATGCCACACCGTCACCGTTAATTCGCCGGGTCCCCGGTCGACGGGCCCCTTTCGTGAAGGAAGCCGATCGAGTAAGGGGGACCGGGGCTCTCACTCTAGTGAGATATTTTTTTTTTTTTTTTTATAAAAATATATATTCTATATATAAAATATAATTTTTATATATATATATATATCTTTTTTTTTTTTTTTTAACCTCAGTGTGGAGATGGTCATGTCCCCATAGCAGGAACATGAGTCATCCACGAACGCTGCTGCTGCATGCTGAATGCCCAGGCATACAGAGCAGCGATCGCGACCATCAGATGACGACAGAAATCGACCGCATCCAGAAGAACACGGGCGAACCGTCTTTAAAAAGACGTGCCGCGTGTAGCTCTTTTACAGAGAGGAGGAAATTCACTCTTTCAGCGCTGAGGCGACCAGGGAGAAGCGCAAAGTCTGGCAGACCACTGCACAGATCGCAGGCAATGCAGAAACTCGCTGGGTACCGCCGTCACACCAACCCTGAAGAGGACGCTCGTCTCGAAGAGTCTTGTAATAGCTTTCAGGAGTGAAGAGGTTCTCTTGGCTCCGAAGCGAAAACATACTGCGGTTGCGTTCACTTCCTCCTTTTATACTCACGGAGTAGGGCGGAGTACGCTATGCAAATTTCCGCAGCCCCAAGGCATTGCATGCCATTGGCTCGTGTTTAAATACTCGAAGAGGATTGGCTTTCTATGCGAAACCCCCCAATCTCCGTCACTTCTGACGTAACTCGAAGTGACTACGAAAGGGAACAAGAAAGTTTTGCAACTGCCCAAACCTCACAATATAACTTGTCAATATTAAAGCCACATAAGGTGAGTCTAGATAATAAAATAATAAGAACAGACATTGAAAAAAATGGAGCCAGCCAGCAGTAAAGGATACATTTCAAAATTATCTGATTTGTCATTACTGAATGATACTCCAGTGGTGTACATATTGCTACATATCTGTCATATGCCATCACTGTTAATGTGAAAAAGTCACACAGAATAGATGAATAAATGACAAATATCTGAATCAAACATCCAGCATAAGAAATCACATGATCGTGTGCTAATAAATCATACAAGAATTTAGGGTAGAATCCAGAAGTGCCAAAAAGTCCATTTACACACAGATTACATATAAACACATACATTGGCTCATGAAGCTTCTTATGTAAGAGTATAGTTGTAATTATAGTTACATTACAAAAGACCATCAAGGGATAGTATAGTGCGGTAAGAGAAAACAAGACATATCTATTTTCCATTGTTTCATTTAGAGCAGAGAGTGTAAATACCAAGACACTGGACTCATTCTTTGATAGTGACTGCATCTTCAATGATATGTAATTATGTGGATTTTGTTTTTGGGAAGTTCTTTGAAAACGAATTCGTTGGATCAAGATGAATTGTCACTGTCAATAGGAAGTCTGTAGATGAAAAACACCACGAAGCAAACATCAAATCCTATATCAGTAGCAGACTTTTTTCTCAGTTACAAAACAGTTGGAATCTTACCATGTTCTCCATTCACATGCTTCCTGTAGTGTTTTGTAAAGATTCGATTTGGTTTGCTATATATGGACACTGGTCTCATGCTAATTGTCTTGGTAACAACCCCTGAAAACCATTTGAACAAGCTCTCTGAAGACTACCTTCTATTAAAGGAACACTCCGACTTTTTGGGACTTTAGCTTATTCACCGTATCCCCCAGAGTTAGATAAGTCCATTCATACCTTTTTTCATCTCAGTGCGTGCTGTAACTCTGTCTATAACCCACCGCTAGCCTAGCTTAGCACAAAGACTGGATGTAAATGGATACAGCTAGCATACTAATCCCAATAAGAGTCAAAATAACGCTAACATTTTCCTATTTACATGTTGTGATTTGTATAGTCACAGAGTGTACAAATAACAAGGTTATATGAGACCCAGACGTCTTTTAACCGTATAGATATTGTGAACTATATTCTCAGAAGGCGAAGTACTGCTACTTGTGCGGAGTCATTACCGCAGCACCTGAGACACACCGAGGCGAGGAGCAGAGAGTTCACTCAGAGTTGGAGTATAGAGTCAGCAATTACTATAGTAAAAGCATAGTTTACAGTCATGGGTGTTCACTGTATTGTATTATCAAAAATTAAAATTTGAGTGTATCATTACAAAACATTTACAATTACATGCTATATTCAGAAATATTGGATTTCTTTTTTTTTAAATTCCACAAAATTTCTTGTTACTAATTGTCACATATTTGTGGATCATCAGATGGATCAACTGAGAGGATGTTTCTCCAGGACCACTGTTACTCAATATTTGAGTGTAGTGGCAGATAGAGCATCCATATGCTTGTTCAGAAGCAAAGAGGGAGAAGGACTTGGGCCCTATTCCAGATGAAGTGGTAAGTAATCTGACTATTTACGTTTCGTTTTAAAGACGGGAGTACCGTACATTTTGAAGACTCTGCCATAATCCCGTTTTCTTCGGTTTTCCTCCGCTTAAATCTCCACAACCGGAAATGGACGAGCATCCTTGCGCCAAATGCGGGCATATAGTCCATTAGTTGTAACACTCACTGTCACAGAGCTTAGTTAATCAAGTTCCCTAACTCTCTCAATTCAGATGTTCCACATAGACCTATAAATAATGTAATCATTTACTATATTATAGCCGCTCGTTCTATTGTCTGACAAAAAAAAAAAAAAAAAAAAATAGGAAATGAAAGCAGCTTTATTTGACATTTGTCTATATTTTATTAAATAGGGAATTATTTTAGAGAGAAAACGTACTAGGCTGACAGAATGCAAGTACGATGTGATGACATCATTAATAAGCTAATTGATGTATGACGTCATCTAGCGACTTTTAGAGAAGGCCTTAGCTATTTTCATTTGAAAATAGTTGGTAACAGTGCCCACACTTTGAGAAAGGCTGGTCTAGTCTGACATCATAACATGGCTTACTCACGCTGAACTGTTTATCCAACCCGATCTCACGACCAAGTCGTACGAATTCGACGAATGATTAAAAAGTGGCTAACTCGTAACAGTTCATACGACCTCACTCGTACGAATTAATACGATTTTGCTAAATCGTACATGTTTTACGAATTGGCCGATTCGTATGAATTCATACGAATGACCTACCCCTTACCCCGCCCCTAAACTTAACCATCACGTGGGTTTAGACAAATCGTACGAATTAGTACGAGTGAGGTCGTACGAATTAGTACGAATTAGCCACTTTTTAATCATGCGTCGAATTCGTACGAATTGGTCGTGAGATAGTGTTGGTTTATCTGGCGACTGAAGATGCCAGTGACCTCAGGCTGAGGAACTGCAGTGGGTCGAGCTTTTGACCTTTTTTTCTGGACATTTGTAGTATGGTTTGTGTTGTTCTCCTCTCGTTCCAATGTTGCAGTAGCTTCCCGCAAAAGCTAACTAACAGATTTCGCCATGACTTTCAATATATTCGTATCATATCACACATTCACACTTGCTCAATCTCCCTCATTCAGATGGGGCGTCGACGGCGTCACTTTATGGAAGTGACTCTGTAGCCCCGTTCCTTGAACAAGCCCCACCCACTCATTAACATATGATTTGCATAGAGGTTGTCTTTGAAAATGAAAACTAAAACTAAAACTGAAATAAAAGAATAAATAAAATAACAATTAAACTTAACATTTTAATGTTTTGAATGTTTGATTTTTACTTCTAAAATGTTTGTTATATTAGTTTAAATGTTGTAATACATATTAAAACAGCATAAAATATGGTGTATTGCTGTACTCATCGACAATAAAGGCCAATGTCATGTATAACCAGGGGTTAAAGTGGTCCAGAACGGTCTGGAACCGTGTTCGGCAGCTCATATATATTAATAAATAAATAGACTGATTAATATCAATAATGGCGCAATGGTAGGCTAATGTTAAAAAAAAAAAATGTTGTGTGCATCGTCAAATTTCAGCCAGCCTGTAGTTCCTTCTGAAGTAGTCCTTCCGTGTCAAATCAAAACGTGATATAACCCCCTGGCCCTGCCTTGACAAACAGGCTTCCTGAAGTTATGTTTGGTTCTTCTGTCTGATTAGAGGACATCTAGGCCAGTACATGCATGCAGTCAAGTCATTTCTCTCCTCCTCACTGAATGATAGCGAATGCGTGAAATGCACTCTTGCTGGTTGAGCGCAGTAAAGTTAGTTTTAGGTTTGATGTTCGCTGCACATTTGTTTTCCCTTGCCACTGTCTTACAAAGATATCAGTTTTAACATTGTTTGACCATTGTATATCGACATGAAATCAAAATCAGCGAAAATGCTTCTACATATGAAGAGTTCAGATGCAAAAGCCTCTAAATGCCATTTGAAATTTTCTTCTAAAATGACCATTTTTATCAAGCTTGTATATTTCAGTTCAGTAATTTCACTTAAATGACAATTAATAGGTAATCTTCATTGCCATTTAAGTGAAATTACTTAACTTAGAAATACAAGCTTTATAAAAATGATCATTTTAGAAGAAAATTTCAAATGGCACTTAGAGGCTTTTGCATCTGAACTCTTCATATGTGTACCTGAAAATGCTTTGACGCGTTTCCACAGCGTTTCTAAATAAGGATTGCATTACTTGGTGCAACAGTGACACTCTTGTCCCAAAACGTTTTGCTATACCTCGATATATTGTCTTACGGTGAGTCATTTTTTTCCTGTTGCACCTACACAAAGTTCCCACACCTGCCAAATCCCACAAATCCCACTATAACCATACAGGTGTTTGTATGGAATATTTTTACAAAGGTTTAGAAGAAATAAAAAAAGTTAATATTACTCGTAAATTAAAACAGTTAAAGGTCCCCTGATTTTTTGACTTTCTGAAGTTTTTTAACATTAAAATGAGTTCCCCTAGCCTGTATATGGTCCCCCAGTGGCTAGAAATTTCAATTGGTGTAAACCGAGCTTTGGCTATATTTCTCTGCCTTTGAGAAAATGAAAGCTCAGGTGCACTGATCTTGAATCTCCTCCGTATGACATCATATGGGGTAAAGGTGACCTCCCCCATCTCTGCTTTGCCTGAACAGAGAATGTGGCTCAACGTGATTTGAGTTTTTCCTTGAGAGATATCATGGCTTACGAACGAGCAAAGCATGGCATTTGATCAGTGTTCAGACGTACAAGTGAACACAAAAGTATTTTTTTGTTGCTTCATTCGAGCCAAACAATGGGTTCTTTTTATTTTCTCTGAAAATGCGCCGACACAACTTCCCAAAATTTTGTATGGTCCAAACATTTCACCGGCGACAGTTTCCTCAACAGAGCTGGCCTCGATGAATGTCTGATGATAAATCGATCGAGCTACCAAAGATGTGTATGTTAGCCTAATTGTTCAAGTTCAGGCAGGTAATTTTTCTCTCAAAATCATTCAACACTGTTTATGCATCAGTAAGTCAAGCCAGTGACTGAAATATCAACGTCACATCATTTAATAAACCCATTTAAATTGTGATCAAATTATATACAGAAAGCGATCAAAGAACAATTTTTACTGTATGTACCTTACTGTATGTGCATTATCGTGTTTGCATTGGTGAGAGCATTAGAGAGAGTGCAGAAACTGCATTGAAATATTTCGATCTTCATTCTCGTGACTCTTCATTCTCGACAGACTGTCATCAGCTTGCTCAACAACATTTCATGTGATGGGAATAGATCTAAATACTATAAAAACTTTCTACAATTTATTAAACTTGATAGCTGTAATAGTAACGTACAATAGTAAAAGTATTCGAGAGAGACGTAATAGTAGCTCCAATTATTTATACTCAATTTTATTTGTTGGGTGTTAAATTTAAATTTGATTCGGACCAAGCAATATGTTTATATATTTATATTTCAAACATGGCACATGCAAATATTTGTTAACACTTTTGTAAATGTGTCCTAACGGTAATTATACAATTAAGTAAAGAGTCGCAGAATGTACTAGTTTGTTGGAATTACTGTTTGGTTTATGGTTAGTTGCATGAAATAAAGCATAATTTAATGTTATGTGTAGAATAAATACATTATGTAACAAATCCACTGTAAAATAAGTGTTACCACTTAAATATGTGTGTTAATTTACAGGACTGAAATGACAGTGAATATCCGTCAAGTGTTAGCTTCAGATGTCCTTGGGAAAGAAATAAGGTGTGAAAGGGCATTGTTCTGAAGTCAGGGGGTAATATTTGTAGATGGAATAAAAAGAAAAGTTGATGACCATAGCGAACATTGACAGACATCAGAGTTTTAAAAGGTTTACATGTTCCCTTGTCCATTTTAACTCCTCTTAAGAAAGATAAAATGTTGTCTTTAATGAATACATGGGACTGTACCTGTCAGTTAAGATTACATCAAAGGAGCATAAAAATCTTGCACATTTGTCAAGTGTAATCCTGCATCATTTAATGTTTTTATACAAACACACACGTGCACACACACACACACACACACACACACACACATATATATATATATATATATATATATATATATATATATATATATATAGTGGTTTATGACTGAAAGAAAAAAAATAGCTATCACAATTTTTATGTTGTCCATTTCAATAAAACAATTTCCATAGTGTTAGAATGCCTAGTAATATTCAATCAGATATTCTCACTTCTTTTTTGAACAGCAGTCTTATGACTTCCTTCCGTAGTCTTGTCAGATTTAGTCCATAAATGAGGGGGTTTAAAATGGGTGGTATGAGTAAGAATTCCATGGCCATGAAATTACGCAAATCTTGTGGCAAACTCTTTGAACCATAACGAGTGTACAGTACATCAAACAGCAAAGCAACAGTCACATTGAGCAATGCAAGAAGATGTGGTACACATGTTTGCATGAATTTGTGCCTGCCCTCTATTGACTTCCTGCATTTTTTAACCAAGTAAATGTATGAGCAAAATATTAATATTGCATGTCCAAAATATGTAAAAATGATTACATAACCAATCACATTATTTACTGTTGTAGAAAAACAGGAGAGTTTAACAACAGACCAATTTTCACAATATAACTTTTCAATAATAGAGCCACATAATTTTAGTCTTGATGTTAATGCAATTCCAAGACACATGAAAAAAAAGGGAGGAAGCCAGCAGAAAAGGATACATTCAAGAACCCTCCGATTGGTCATTACTGAATGATAATCCAGTGGTCTACATATTGCCACATATCTGTCATATGCCATCACTGTTAATGTTGAAAAATCACACAGAATAGATGAATAAATGACAAATATCTGAATCAAACATCCAGCATAAGAAATCACATGATACTGGGATAATAAATCATACATGAATTTAGGGTAGAATCCAGCAGTGCCAAAAAGTCCATTTACACACAAATTACATATAAAGACATACATCGGCTCATGAAGCTTCTTATGTGAGGTTACAGCGTAAATTATGGATACATTACACAACACAATTAATGGATAATACAATGCAGTCAATGAAAAAAACACAAATCTTTTCCCCATCATTTCATTTAGTCCAGAGAGTGTAAACACAATGGATTGATTCTCTAGTGGTTGCTGCATCTAGAATTATATACAGTTTTATGACAGAGATTTCATTATGCACATCATAATAAAAAAATTGTTGATTAAAAGTTAAAACTTAGATAATCATTCAGATAGTCAACTCTTCAGTCCTGTGATATAAACGGAAATATTCAATACTCTAAAGGTAGCATATGCAGATACTTTAAAGATGCACTCAAAGAAATAATTAAAATCTTACCACAATCTCTTTGTGTTAGTTTGACAGTGTTGTAAAACGTTGATCTGGTGATATGTATATATGAAGACTATTCTCATGCCAATTGCCTTGTTTGTGAACAAAAGCTCTCTTGAGAATGTTTTTTTAAATGTCTGTTACTAAACATGTCATAAAAGTAATATTAATAATATTGTAAATAAAAATCGCCAAATCTTAAAACCCTGGGCCCAGTTTCCCCAAAATGTTCTTATCGCTAAGTAGTTCTTAACATATTTCTAGAGCCGATCCTCCCTATACGCACAGAACACATCGATGAGATATTTAAGTGGTAATTACTTCTGGTCACGAAAAGAGAGACTGAGAGAAAAACAACATGTGAGTGGATTGCGGGAACAATGATCAGGCAGACTTGTGTTCTCTCTTCTCCAAGTTTAATGTGAAGTTTAATGTGAAGTCTTCCTGTCTAACCAGCCCAATCTCATAAAAGCATTATATCTATACCATGCATTTAGTTTCTCATGCCATTTATACAGCAAAAATAGTTTTTACATGCATATGATAGGCCTACGCAGTTTTCGCTTGCATATGATACATACTTTTTGGCGTGTATAACATAACCTTGGTTCCGCATTTGATGCAAGGATGCTCTTCAGTTTCCGGTTGGGGAGATTAAAACGGAGGAAAACCGAGAAAAACGGGATTATGGCAGAGTCTTCAAAATGTACTGTCCTCTCGTCTTTGAAGCGAAACGTTAGAACGTTAGTAACGTTAGACACGCATCCGATATGTTTGCCATTATAACAGATGAACAGTAAATTAGTAGTGATACTACAACTATCACTACTAATTTAGGACTGAAAATCCGGATATAACGTAACCCGTATCCTTTCAGTGTGAGGCCACGCATGAAATGCTAGCGGGCTAAAGGCTAGTAGCCGAGATTCGGAAGGTTGGATATAAGTAGCGATATCAAAGCAATCCAATTGTTCCCTTTCAAGGGAACTTTGAGCTGCGTTGTCAAACGCGATGGGGAACGTTCTGCGTGATTGCGTCGTGAAGCGTCTGTACAATCAATCCAATGAGAGAGTAGGACGTCAGGTGACGTCATTGACCAGGAAACTTGAAACCACCCTTGAAATCAGACCGCTACAGCATCTGTAGTCTTCAGCAAGCGATCTCTGTACTCTGTCCTTGTCTATTTATTGTTGTTTGTCAAAGCCCAATATATGTTACTATCTATATTTATGGCAAGCAAGATTATAGACGGTGTGTGGTTCCCTGCCCTCGTTACATCACGGGTGGGGATAAGGGTGTAAGGGTGTAAGGGTGGTCCCCTCTGGGGTAGGGACGGTTTTGAGAAATCGTTTCTCCTCAGTGCCCTTTGGGGCGCGACTCTCTGAGGAGGGTCGCAGCACTGACGGTTCGGTTTCCCTGCCGGTTTGCCGTTTCAGGGCACCAAGGTCTCAGTGTCCCCAAACGAGCCTTAAAAAAAGGGCAGTCAGTTCGGTTTCCCTGCCGGTTCGCCGTTTCAGGGCGCCGAGGTGCCTGCTTTTTCGATCCTCGAGTCCTCCGAGGAGGGTCGTAGGAACTAAGCTAGTTAAGAGGTAGGCAAGATCTGAGGACTGTCATCATCTCTAATAAAGCTTAGACAAGAAGTCCTGTCGCAAAAAAATGAGGCTTCTGAGGGCTCCTCCGGGGCAGGGACGGTTTTGAGAAATCATTTCTCCTCGGCAACCTCTGGGGTGCGACTCTCTGAGGAGGGTCACAGGCGCTGCGACCCTCCTCAGAGGAGGCGCTGCACACACTCTCTGAGGAGGGTGCGACTCTCTGAGGAGGGTCGCAGCGCTGCCATTTCGGTTGTTTCCTGCCGGTTCGCCGTTCAGGACACAGAGGTGCCGGCGTCCCCATACGATCCTCCGAGGAGGGTCGTAGAGCGGTCAGTTAGGTTGCTCCCTGTCGGTTTGCCGCTTCAGGGCACTGAAATGATTGTTCAAGCAAATCCAGAGGCCAGTCTTGAGAGACTGGTTCCCCTAGTAGAATTTCTGGCAGCGTGGAAACTACTGTCACACATTTCTCATTGGGTCCTGCACACTATAGAAAAGGGTTTCAGAATTCAGTACGGTTCTCGTCCGCCCAGATTTCTAGGGGTCCTCCTCGTAGTGGTGGACCCGAGCACGATTTGGTTATGGAGCAGAAAGTATTGACACTTCTGTAAAAGGAGCTGTAGAAGGGATTCCTCTTCCCAGCAGACAGCCATTACTTCATTGTTTCTGAAAGAGGATGAGGTGTTGCGTCCTACTCTGGACCTGTGTCATTTAAACAGCAGGTTTCAGAATCTTAAGTTCAATATGCTTACGCTAAATATGATTGTGTCACAGATTCAGTCCGAGGACTGGTTTCTCTCAATAAACTTAAGGGATGCTTACTTATCTTTCCATCTTCATCACAGGAGGTTCCTGAGGTTTGCTTTCGGGGGCGAAGCATACCAATATCGGGTTCTCCCATTCAGCCAAAGTTTCTCACCCCACACCTTTGTTTTCAATATGCGTGGATGCAGCTCTGGCTCCTCTGGACTCCAGGGCATTTGCGTATTATACTTTCAATGATTGATTGATCCTAGCTCAATCTGAGCATGTGGCAGTTCGGCATTGAGATGTCGTTCTGTCTCATTTAAAGATGTTGGGAGTTGTTGCTCAACGCCAAGAAGAGTGTGCTCTGAGGACCACTTTTCTAGGTGTAGCCTTTTACAGCAGTAAATGGGGTACATATCATGGCAGCTGCGTCAAACGTAATTACTTTTGGCCTTCTGTACATGAGACCCATGCAGTGATGGCTCAGGACCAAGGGGTTTTCTCCGAGGAGAAAAACGTTTTTCGCATGATCAAGGTCACGCAGCTATGCCTTCGTGCTTCGGTCTTGTGGAAGAACCTTGGTTCCTCGCCCAGGCCCAGTGTTGGGGGCTTCTTGTCGATGCATAATGTTATCGACGGATGCTTCCCTCACAAGTTCTGATGGAGTTTTGGTTCCTTGCCACTGTTGCCTTGCTTTTGGCTTGCTCAGTTGGGGATATTTAATATTTAATATTTAGGGGTTCAAGCACGAAGTGCTGAAACCCTATTGTTTTTGTACTGATTTTTATTAGGGGTTTAAGCACGAAGTGCTGAAACCCTATTGTAATTGTATTGATTTTTAGGGGTTCAAGCACGAAGTGCTGAAACCCTATTGTTTTTGTATTGATTTTTATTAGGTGTTCAAGCACGAAGTGCTGAAAACCTATTGTAATTGTCCTGATTTTTAGGGGTTCAAGCACGAAGTGCTGAAACCCTATTGTAATTGTATTGATTTTTATTATTATTATTATTATTATTCTCCCCTAAAACGCATCGTGCAGCCCAAACCGTAAGGGCTAGAGCTCTGAAACTTTGTCAGATGGTAGTACAAAAATCGAGGAGAGGTTATCAAATTATGAGCCCGATTGGCCCATAGGTGGCGCTATAGCGACCAATTGCGCGAAACGGCTCATAACTCCTAGACCGTAAGTCGTACACTCAAGTGTCTTATATCATTGGAAAGCTGGTCACCTGACGAAAAAAACGTATATCTCCGATTTCATTTCGGGTATAGAAATTTTTCCGCCATTTTGAATTTTGTCGAAAAACTACTTTTGCGAACTAGTCCCTGGTTTTTTGCCCGATCGGAACCAAACCAGTGCAGAAATGTTCTCTGGAGTCTGAAGATCAATAATTATCAAAAAAATGTTGAAATTTCTATTTCCGGTCGCTAGGGGAAGCAAAATAAACGTTGTGGGAGGAGCCTATTTTACTAAATTGGCTATAACTCGAGAAGTAAATGAGATATCTTCACCAAACTCGGTACACATGTGTACGAGTTCAATTTGAGGTCACAGTAAAAAAAAAAACGACGATTGAACACTAGGTGGCGCTATAATATGAAAAAAACATAAAAAGGGCTATGACCACATGACCGTTAGTCCGATTGACTTGAAAATTGGTATGCAGTGTCTTGGACCAAGGCCCCATGTATATCTATGAGGACATTGGCGTATCTAAAAAAACATGGCCGCCATCGGCCAATGAAGTTTGTGCATCTATGAAACAAGGTTAACGAAGCCCGATCGGAACGAAACTCGTTGGGCATGTTTGACTCATGGCCCTAGAGGTCTGTAAGAATTTTGAAAGAAATCGGCCACTAGTTGGCGCTAACGAGTTTTATGGCTCTGTTATCACGTGGTGTTGCACACACCCCCACAATATGTATATCAATTGATAGATCTCCTCACGCTGAACAACTTTGCCTCAAGAACCATTGCTGTCAATCAAATCGTTCGTTAAATATTCACGAATATGTTAAAAACGTACTTTTGCGAACTAGTCCCTGGTTTTTTGCCCGATCGGAACCAGACCAGTCTAGGACAATTCTTTGGACACTCTAGATCAATAATTATCAAAACAAGTTGAACTGTGTCATTTGTTTTGCTATAACAGGGTCATTAATAAAAGGGGGCATGACAAAATGCACCCAAAAGCCTATAAATCCTAAAGGAAAAGTCAGAACTTCACAAAAATTGATGAGCACATGTGTCATAACTTATTCAACAAGCATGCAAAGTTTCATGGAGATCGGACTATAGGTGGCGCTATAACTGTTAAAAATGTTAAAAACAATGTATTCCCTATGGTAAATTGCCATTATTGAAACTTAAACCTTAATGTCTTTTGATGCTTTTGTGCTTAAAGGCCTTAAAGGCCTAAACTGCTTGAACCCCGCTAAATGCTGCTTGCAGCTTTAATTATTATTATTATTTTTCTGCCGTAAAACGCATCGTGCAGCCCAAACCGTAAGTGCTGGAACTCTGAAACTTTGTCATATGGTAGTACAAAAATCGAGGAGAGGTTATCAAATTATGAGCCCGATTGGCCAATAGGTGGCGCTATAGCAACCAATTGCGCGAAACTGCTCATAACTCCTAGACCGTAAGTCGTACACTCAAGTGTCTTATATCATTGGAAAGCTGGTCACCTGACGAACAAAACGTATATCTCCGATTTCATTTCCGGTATGCAAATTTTTCCGCCATTTTGAATTTTGTTGAAAAACTACTTTTGCGAACTAGTCCCTGGATTTTTGCCCGATCGGAACCAAACCAGTACAGAAATGTTCTCTGGAGACTGAATATCAATAATCATTGAAAAAAAGTGGAAATTTCGATTTCCGGTCGCTAGGGGACGCAAAATAAACGTTAAAGGAGGAGCCTATTTTACTAAAATGGCTATAACTCAAGAAGTAAATGAGATATCTTCACCAAACTCAGAACACATCTGTAGAAGGTCAACTTGAGGTCACAGTAAAAAAATCGCGACGATTGAAACCTAGGTGGCGCTATAAAACGAAAAAAACATAAAAAGGGCTCAGACCAGCTGACCGTTAGTCCGATTGACTTGAAAATTGGTATGCAGTGTCTTGGTCCAAGGTCCCATGTATGTGTATGAGGACATTGGCGTATCTCAAAAAACATGGCCGCCATCGGCCAATGAAGTTTGAGCACCTATGAAACAAGGTTAACGAAGGCCGATCGGAACGAAACTCGATGGGCATGTTTGACTCATGGCCCTAGAGGTCTGTAAGAATTTTGAAAGAAATCGGCCACTAGTTGGCGCTAACGAGTTTTATGGCTCTGTAATCACGTGGTGTTGCACACACCCCCACAATATGCATATCATTTGATAGATCTCCTCATGATGAACAACTTTGCCTCAAGAACCATTGCTGTCAATCAAATCGTTCATTAAATATTCATGAATATGTTGAAAACCTACTTTTGCGAACTAGTCCCTGGTTTTTTGTCCTATCGAAACCAGACCAGTCTAGGACAACTCTCTGGAGGCTCTAGATAAATAATTATTGAAAAAAAGTTAAACTTTTAAATTTTTCGCACAGTATTAAAGGGATATTTTGAAAAGTGGTGTGGCAAAATGCACCAAAAAGCCTATAAATCCTAAAGGAAAACTCAGAACTTCACAAAAATTAATGAGCATATGTGTCATAACATGCTGAAGAAGCATGCACAGTTTCATAGAGATCGGACCATAGGTGGCGCTATAACTGTTAAAAAGTTTCAAAACCATGTATTTCCAATGGTAAATTGCCTTTATTGGCTGTAAATGGTTTTTTCCATCTATTATGTCAGTGGATAAATGTATGTTAAATAAAACTGAATGCCTTTTGATGCTTTTGTGCTTAAAGGCCTTAAAGGTCTGAACTGCTTGAACACCGATAAATGCTGCTTGCAGCTTTAATTAGGGGTTCAAGCACGAAGTGCTGAAACCCTATTGTAATTGTATTGATTTTTATTATTATTATTATTATTAGGTGTTCAAGCACGAAGTGCTGAAAACCTATTGTAATTGTACTGATTTTTATTATTATTATTATTATTATTATTATTATTATTTTTCTTCCGCCGTAAAACGCATCGTGCAGACCAAACCGTAAGTGCTGGAGCTCTGAAACTTTGTCAGATGGTAGTACAAAAATCGAGGAGAGGTTATCAAATTATGAGCCCGATTGGCCCATAGGTGGCGCTATAATAATCAATTGCGCGAAACTGCTCATAACTCCTAAACCGTAAGTCGTACACTCAAGTGTCTTATATCATTGGAAAGCTGGTCACCTGACGAAAAAAACGTATATCTCCGATTTAATTTCCGCCATGATAGATTTTCCGCCATTTTGAATTTTGTCGAAAAACTACTTTTGCGAACTAGTCCCTGGTTTTTTACCCGATCGGAAACAAACCAGTGCAGAAATGTTCTCTGGAGTCTGAAGATCAATAATTATTGAAAAAAAGTAGAAATTTCTATTTCCGGTCGCTAGGGGACGCAAAATAAACGTTGTGGGAGGAGCCTATTTTACTAAAATGGCTATTACTCGAGAACTAAATAAGATATCTTCACCAAACTCGGTACACATGTGTAGGAAGTCAATTTGAGGTCACACAAAAAAAATGGTGACGATTGAACACTAGGTGGCGCTATAAACTGAAAAAAACATAAATTCAACTGACCGTTTGTCCGATTGACTTGAAAATTGGTATGCAGTGTCGTGGTCCAAGGCCCCATCTATGTGTGTGAGGACATTGGTGTATCTCAAAAAACATGGCCGCCATTGGCCAATGAAATTTGAGCACCAATGAAACAAGGTTAACGGTGGCCGATCGGAACGAAACTCGATGGGCGTGTTAGACTCATGGCCTAAGAGGTCTGTAAGAGTTTTGAAAGAAATTGGCCACTAGTTGGCGCTAATGAGTTTATTGGCTCTGTAATCACGTGGAGTTGCACCCATGCCCACGAAATGCATATAATTGGATAGATCTCCTCATACTAAACCACTTTGCCAATAGAACCATTGCTGTCAATCAAATCGTTCATTAAATATTCACGAATATGTTAAAAACCTACATTTGCAAACTAGTCCCTGGTTTTTCGTCCAATCGGAACCAAACCAGTCTAGGCCTATTCTCTGGACTCTCTAAATCAATAGTTATCAAAAAAATGTTGAGATTTTACATTTGTTTTGCTATAACAGGGTCGTTTACTAAATGGGCGGGACAAAATGCACCGAAAAGCCTATAAATCCTAAAAGGAAAACTCAGAACTTCACAAAAATTGATGAGCATATGTGTCATAACATGCCGAAGAAGCATGAACAGTTTCATGGAGATCGGACCATAGGTGGCGCTATAAATGTTAAAAAGCATAAAAACCATGTATTTCCAATGGTAAATTGCCTATATTGGCTGTAAATGGTGTTTTCCATCTATTATGTCAGTGGATAAATGTGTGTTATATAAAACTGAATGCATTTTGATGCTGTTGTGCTTAAAGGCCTTAAAGGTCTGAACTGCTTGAACACCGATAAATGCTGCTTGCAGCTTTAATTAGGGGTTCAAGCACGAAGTGCTGAAACCCTATTGTAATTGTATTGATTTTTATTATTATTATTATTCTCCCCTAAAACGCATCGTGCAGCCCAAACCGTAAGGGCTAGAGCTCTGAAACTTTGTCAGATGGTAGTACAAAAATCGAGGAGAGGTTATCAAATTATGAGCCCGATTGGCCCATAGGTGGCGCTATAGCGACCAATTGCGCGAAACGGCTCATAACTCCTAGACCGTAAGTCGTACACTCAAGTGTCTTATATCATTGGAAAGCTGGTCACCTGACGAAAAAAACGTATATCTCCGATTTCATTTCCGGTATGGAAATTTTTCCGCCATTTTGAATTTTGTCGAAAAACTACTTTTGCGAACTAGTCCCTGGTTTTTTGCCCGATCGGAACCAAACCAGTGCAGACATGTTCTCTGGAGTCTGAAGATCAATAATTATCAAAAAAATGTTGAAATTTCTATTTCCGGTCGCTAGGGGAAGCAAAATAAACGTTGTGGGAGGAGCCTATTTTACTAAATTGGCTATAACTCAAGAAGTAAATGAGATATCTTCACCAAACTCGGTACACATGTGTACGAGTTCAATTTGAGGTCACAGTAAAAAAATAGCGACGATTGAACACTAGGTGGCGCTATAACATGAAAAAAACATAAAAAGGGCTATGACCACATGACCGTTAGTCCGATTGACTTGAAAATTGGTATGCAGTGTCTTGGACCAAGGCCCCATGTATATCTATGAGGACATTGGCGTATGTAAAAAAACATGGCCGCCATCGGCCAATGAAGTTTGAGCACCTGTGAGACAAGGTTAACGGAGGCCCATCGGAACGAAACTCGATGGGCATGTTCGACTCATGGCCCTAGAGGTCTGTAAGAATTTTGAAAAAAATCGGCCACTAGTTGGCGCTAACGAGTTTTATGGCTCTGTAATCACGTGGTGTTGCGCATATCCCCACAAAATGCATATCTTTTGATAGATCTCCTCATGATGAACAACTTTGCCTCAAGAACCATTGCTGTCAATCAAATCGTTCATTAAATATTCACAAATATGTTAAAAACCTACTTTTGCGAACTAGTCCCTGGTTTTTTGCTCGATCGGAACCAGACCAGTCTAGGACAATTCTCTGGACTCTCTAGATCAATAATTATCAAAAAAAAGTTGAACTTTGACATTTGTTTTGCTATAACAGGGTCATTTACAAAAGGGGGCGTGACAAAATGCACCCAAAAGCCTATAAATCCTAAAGGAAAACTCAGAACATCCCAAAAATTGATGAGCATATGTGTCATCACATCATTAACAAGCATGCAAAGTTTCATGGAGATCGGACTATAGGTGGCGCTATAACTGTTAAAAATGTTAAAAACATGTAATCCCTATGGTAAATTGCCATTATTGACTGTAAATGGTGTTTTCCATCTCTGATCATATCATAATGTTAAAACCAGTGCAGTACAATTCTTTGGACTCTCTAGATCAATAATTATAAGAAAAGTTAAACTACGTCATGTGGATGACTATAATAGGATGGCTTCAACATTTAGTGTGTTGAAGCCATCTATTACTACACTTTCAGTGTCCCTGAAAGCATTGATCTCTTCAATAAACAAGTCAGAACATGTGACATTAAATAATCATGAACATTTACAGACAGATCTGACAAAATATGCCTAAATAACAGTTAAAAAAGTGAAATGATATCAAAATGATGGTCTATTAAGCCAATAAGTGGTGTTTTTACTGCCCTCTGCTGTTCAAAATAGTAATTGTCTCACCACTTAACTATAATTAATTTTATGACTTTATTAATTATCTATTTTAACATTTGCAATCACATTTGGTCAAATATTGAACACAATCATTTTTTTGTCAAAGTTTATCACTTCAGTTGTTCTGAATCTTCACATAATTGCTATTAACGTGGTAAATAGCTATACTGTATTTCCTAGAATCACATTAAAAATCCAATCATCCAAGCCCCAATCACTGTAAATAATGATAAATCATGCTAGAACGTGGTAAATTAATGTACACTTGGTCAGAGGTGTAGTGGTAAAAAAAGAGGTGGGTAAACTATAAATTCTGGTGTATTATTTCGAATAATAAGACACTATGGGCTGTTACTCTAGGGGCTGATCAAATTAAATCATTTACACTGAAAAAACACAATTGCATAAAATAATGTTATGACATTTATTTAAATTTACATAAGAAACTGGGAAAGAATGATACTACTTTTAAACATTTAACACTAAACCGCCAGTAGGTGGTGGCAGGCGACCGTCTTAATGAGTGAGTCATTCAATTCATTCATTCAAACGATTCGTTCAAAACGGCTGATCATTCAAGAATGAGACCGATGTTTTTGAATGTGTCTTTGAATCTTTGACTCAATCGATTCGTTCAAATGCTGAATGATTCAGTAATGGAAAAACACGTCGAGTGTTTCCTGTGACATGTGCCGTGGTTCTGCTGTTGATTATTGTTTGGAACTATTTTCGCTGCTGAAACACAACAAAAACAGCCAATATTAGCATCTAAAATGTAAGTGATTTAATTTTTTACGTTTATTGAACTGTTGTAGGAAATCAATG